TTTAATCAATGAAAATAACAAAAGGAAAAAACACACACCTTTTTCGGATTTCCTAGAAGAGTTCACAGGAACAGCTATCATCGCAAACACGAGGAATACCCACAGCATCCTCAATATCCAGAATTTGTCGGTAATCAGTTTCATTAAAAGGTGATATAAAAAGTAACACTAAATCATAACGACAAGTGATATGTTGTTTTGAGGAAGAAGTAAACACATCAAGCATACCGAGGAGGGTGAATATACAGTATTGTAGCGCCACGCTGTGACGGCGATTGAAGTCTAAAGTTGTAAAATCGCAATACTTCCACACTTTACGGGAAATTATAATATAGTAAAAATTCATCAAGATAATAATTACAAGCATGCAAATAACAGAAATTTAAGTACAAACTATTTCATTTTAATTCAAAATCGCTGAATTTGAGAGTCTAGCTGAGTTAAATGCCTATTTCTACAAAGTTTGAATTCAATAACAATTTAAGCGAATGTTAAGTAAAAAAATATGAAAGTTTTTTTTAATGCATGACGTTAGTATAACATTGATAGATTATGCAACCACAATACAGAAATATAACATGATAAAGTTCACAAATTAAATTTTACGAGACAGCATTCTGAATTTATGTAGTCAGTTGAATGTTATTTAGCTGTCCAAGATATCGCGTCGTACAGAACATGACAGATGTGTGAAGGAAACATACGATTAAATTTATGAAAAATGTTTAAAATATTTTCTTCCCTTTAAACGGATCGTCCTTCTACATATGACAGATGTACAAAGAAAACATACACATGTATTAAAGAAAACATACGATTAAATGTATAAAAATAATTTAAAATATTTTCGTTACTTTAAAATAACCGTCCTTTAAGCTTCCCTAGATTAAGGAATTTGATCCCTGTATTTTTTTTTCAAGGTTCCTTCAATTCAACTTAAATTGAACGAGCCTTTTGATTTGATTATTTTTAAAAATTTCATCTTGGAATTGATGCACGCATTCTCGTACGATAAAAAAATAATACGATCTAGAACAAGCCAATATAATCTCAAATATATTGTCAGCTTCCAAGATGCAATTAGGGAGCATGCACACATTTAACTTAAATACAGTGTCACTTGTTGACTCATGCAGCTATATTTTTTAAAGAAAAGAAACCATCGATTTGAATATATTTAGTTCGCTTAAAAAAATAATTTTTTTTAAGGGTCGGGCATTTGGGTTTATTTCCCATTGAAATGGCCTAGTGGGCTTATTACCCAGTGGGCAATTGTGGCTAAGTCACGGCAGTGGAGTAGCTTCGCCCACGCCATACAACCATATAGATCTGGTTACATTCACGGACAGAAGAAAGGACACAGAACACAGAGAGGGAGAGAAAGTGACATCCATGCCTACGGTGGGATTCGAACTCACAACCCGGAGTAGAGCACAGTAACCATTAGAGCAGTGATCGTCGTCTTTAAGGAATAATAATAGTGAATGATATCGTACCACGCACTCTCAATACTACCAACTTCTTGAGGGGAGGTGGAACACCGTTATTTGCTTCGCAGACATATGTTCCATCATCAGAACTCTGAATGTGATCCAAATGGAGGATCTCTCCTTTCATCCCTTCTTCTCTGCCTGCAATAAAGGAATAAATTTACTACTGTAATTAAACTAATTTAAAAAAGTTTACAATATATATACCGTAAACCGGGGCGAGTCTACCCATTTTTTCAGTTTGTCAACTTTCAAGTGGTCAAACTTTTGTAAATATTAAAGAAAAAACGCTTTTAATAGGTGTTTCGGAATCGCTATTTATCCCTCTTTAAAGCTGTGAAGTCGATTTTAGAAAATATTAACAGTTACGCTGTTACTGTATATNATATATGCATTTTTATAGAGTAATAGAAGTTTGAATTAAATATTTTAATTAAAGAAAATTTATAACGTTTAAACAGAAACAAAATTAAAATAAATTTTTTAATGCGATCAGAAGATCCAGCTGGTTGCTTGCAGACTGCTCACCCCTTAATGACCTTTTTTTCAAATGGGTATAATGTGTGACCTTATTTTATAACTATTTTAATTAGACTAAAACGTAATTTTACTAATTGTTATACATTCAGTTAGAAACAAATATTTTCCTGATTTATAAATGTTCAAGGTAAGTGTAGTTTGAAGATTGAGTTTGCAATTATTGAATCGATCTTTTGAAAGTATTTGCAAACGTATATTTTTTAGTTTAGTTTATGAAACTGAAGCAAATTTATTGAGATATTTGACCTTTCAATACTTTTCGGACATTTTATAGATGCTAATAACAATAACATTAGTATTAATAATAGGAGGAAAAAAAACAAGTTAAATAGTGACTATAGATCTTAATTACTTAATAATCATAATTGAAGCGATGAATGCTAAAAGGGGGTATGTTACATTTCTGCACTTTCGAGAAAAACCAAAAAAAAAAGAAGAAAAAAAAGCTGTAAATTGTGGATAGATTGTTTTAATTGCTTCTAAATTGTTGGATTCTCTTCTTTAGGTAGTCTAGAAAATTACTCGTTTTTTTATAATCAGTGATTGATAATGCAAAACAAAAAACTTATTTTTGCAAAAATGTTACATAATCCCTTGTGACATTAAGCACTTCAATTGTAATTAGCGATGCATATATTGAATAAAAAAATAAAGGGAGTGACCTTTGATCCATGTAATTTGTGGAGGAGGGAATCATGGGCAGAACAACGAAATGAATAAGATGAGCCGACTAAAACTGTAGCATTTTCCGGTTCAATGAGCCACTTGGGTGGAGCTGTGAAAGAAAAACGTATATCAACAGAAGAGAAAGGGTCGTCCTAATAGCAGAAAAATGTTTTGGGTCCCTATAACATGGCATGCTGTTTAAAATCTAACTAAAAACACTTCACATACATAAAATAAAGATATGCAATAATTTTAAGATATGCAACATTGTCAAGATATGCAATAATTTAAATAAACTTAAACAAATTTTCATTACCCCCAAAAACTCATTGCACATAAAACTAAGCATATTTAAACTATGCATATTTTCACCCCTCTTTCTAAAAATTGAGATATAAACCAGTTGCAATCCTCATACAATAAAATAATTTTAAAAGCCAAGAAGCTGATGAAAACAATTAAAAAAACATAGGGGTATAACAGATAAAAAATTTAAAAAGGTAGGAATTATTTCACCAAACAATTAAAGTCAATTGTTAAAATACCTTTCAGTGCACATCAGACATAACCAGTTTAAAAATTGCTCTCCCATAGTGTTCTGTAATTCTAAACACTTTCAATTATTACTTTATTTAACTAATTATAAATACTAAAAAGAAATGGTGGTGGTCAAGCCTATTTAGAGACATTATGACTTAGAGAGTTGAGTACTCTTGAGTACGTTGAGTGAGTTCAAGTTTTTTTGGTGATAAACTATTCAAGTAATTGGTGTTTGCATGATAATCAATTATTTTGTAGAAAACTTTTTGCATAAGAATATATTTGTTTTAGAAAACATAAAATGGAACATTGTTTATTGTTCGTTTTTTTAAGACACATCTTTACTCTTAAATCTATAATTTTCCTTTATGTTTTGTTAGATTTTTTTTATACCTATTATTGTATTAGTATGAAATGGAAAAAATGCAATGTGATATAAAGCCATATTTGCAGTAATTTGCTTCATGATTAATTACAAAGAACAAAAAAAGGTTATTAATCTTACTATATATAAAATTCTAATGATGGTGTCGCAGTTTTCCATTGTTGTCGGTGCATTTTTATTGGCCAGAAAATCACGTGGTAGGATCCAGTTTTCCCTCATTCATTTCCATATTGTCTTGGTTGTCATCAGCAATAGTCGTAAAGGTATTGTTTTTCTTTAAATATTTTGTATCCCTAATTTAAACTTATTTTCCAGTACTGCTACTATTAGCGAGAATATTAAATTATGGTTGTGAACTCATCAGATTTGTTTGAACAATATAATGCTATAAGAATATAAATGTTATTTTAAAAAATGATTACTTCGAAAAATCGCTTCCTTTCACCAACAGATCTAATATTTGGGTAAAGTAATATTTAGACGTGGGAAGTAGAGGCACAAGAGTAAGTAAACAGAATTCCTTTTAGTACATATATGTTAAAGGAATAATTTTAACTTTAATAGAAAAATTGTTTTCTGCCAAGAAAAGACAATTATTGCGAAGCAATATTGCAAAGCAATAATCGGGGTTGGTGAGCGGCAGCGAACAGGGGGCTTAGCCCCCTAGTAAGTTCATAACATTCTTAGTCATTCATAACAAAATAGTGAATTTTTTTTATAGAAAGTACTTTCATTTATACGTTATGGGCAGTTTAATTTAATATAAAATTATTTATATATAACCACTATTACGATATCATTTGTTTAAACTTAGTTAATATATTCATGGTTTCTTTCTACTAATTTTTTGCAGTTTTATTTTTAAATAGTTAGACATCTGCTACTTCCCCAGCCTAGCGTTTCATATCTTTTTTTTCTCATAGTTTCACAGTTTTTTACTTACAAAAATAAGTAAATAAAGAGAAAGTTTTCAGAAACAGCATTTGTTTTACCGTCATAAAGCGTAGAAAATAAAGTAGTAATAAACATTTTATAGAAATATTTGAACTTGTAATTTTTTAAAACAATTATCCACATTATGTAAGCAAGCAAGTTATAGTAATTTTCGAACATGAAAGCAATGCTCAAAGTATATTAATTAATTATTATAGTTTTTATATTTCTACAAAGAAAAAAAAAATACAATTAAATTTTTTTCAACAAGCTCTTTTAAAAAAGATTAGGAAATTGTTACACAAGATTCTAGCTTGCGATTTTTACAGACAAAAAATATTCTTAATATTCAAATTTTTGGATTTGTGCCTATTTAAATGCTAAATATAAAACTATAAATTAATTACAAAAAATTATAACTGCGCTAAAGATATCATAAATATAGACTGAAAATATAAGCAAAATATATTTAAGGAGTTAAACTTCAATGCAGTTTTTAAGATTGTATTTTATAACTCTTAACACCAACTATACATTAATATTTATTGTTACAACATTCATACAATCTCTTGTTTGCATGTAAATTACCCTATTAAAATTATTCAATTGGATCAAATTGTTTTTAAAATAAATTAAGTAGTAACAAGTTATATTCTTTAGTAACAGAATAAAAAATTTTATTTGTGGTTCTCATGAATTAATAAATAGTTATATTTAATTATGAGTTTCTTAGTTAGTATGTTAAATATTATTTTAATTTTGAGCTATAAAGTCTTAAAAATACTTTGCTAGCAAAAGCATGAATAAAAAAAACATACAACTGGATAAATTAAAAATAAAAGCAGGAGACAATTTATGGAACATCAGAGAGTTGTTGATTTTTGTTTTTGATGAGAATAGTTTTTGTTTTGAATTCAATCTTCATAAGGTTGTCAAATAAATGTGCTTTTTTATAAAAAAAGAACTGTTTTTTTAATATAGTTCTAATTCATTACATCAATATTTAATTTTAAAACAAAAATCCAGCTTATAGGAACATTATTGCTTATTTTAAATCAAAAGTAAAAAATGCTGATTTTATATAAATGTGTTAATTCCATATTTATTCTTGGATGACAAAATATAATTAAATAAATTAAAAAGTACCTTTCACTATCAACTCTGCTGTGTATTTATCAAAGTGCTGTTGTTGGTTGGTTGCGATGCAAGTGTAATTGCCTGAGTGATTTGTCTTCACGCTTTTTATAGTCAGAGCTGAAAATTCTTCGTCTATTCTGAATTTAAACTCGTCATTTTCAGAGAGCGGTTCTCCGTCCTTCTGCCAAGAATAAGATATTATATTTGAACTCGATTTGGCTGTACAGGACACTGAAGTCTTATCCCCGATTTGAATACCTTCCTCAAAATGAAACTTCTGGATTACCACCGATGAAGCTAAATAAATAAAAAAAAGTAGCTTATTCTTCTAAAAAAT